CATTTCAGGTGACTACCTCTTGAAGCTCATGGAGAGAATGCCAAGAGTGTGCAAAGCAGTAATCAGAGCAAAGGGTGGCTATTTTGAAGAAACTAGAATATAAAACATGTTTTCAGTTATTTCACCTTTTTTTGTTAAGTACATAACTCCACATGTGTTCATTCATAGTTTTGATGCCTTCAGTGAGAATCTACAATGTAAATAGTCATGAAAATAAAGAAAACGCATTGAATGAGAAGGTGTGTCCAAACTTTTGGCCTGTACTGTATATATGGTCACTAACCACTTTATTAGGTACACCTTGCTAGTACCAGGTTGGACTCCTTCTGCCTTCAGAGCTGCCTTAATTCTTGGTGTCATAGATCCAACAAGGTGCTGGAAACATTCCTCAGAGATGTTGGTCCATACTGACACGATGACATCACACAGTTGCTGCAGATTTGTCGGCTGCACATCCATGATGAGAATCTCCCGTTCCACCACATCCCAAAGGTGCTCTCCTGGATTGAGATCTGGTGACTGTGGAGGCCATTGGAGTACAGTGAACTCATTGTCATGTTCAAGAAACATGTTTGAGATGATGTGAGCTTTGTGACATGGTGCGTTATCCTGCTGGAAGTAGCCATCAGAAGATGGGTACACTGTGGTCATAAAGGGATGGACACGCTCAGCAACAATACTCAGGTAGGCTGTGGTGTTTAAACCATGCTCAGCTGGTACTAAGAAAATCTCCCCCACACCATTACACCACCAGCAGCAGCCTGAACCGTTGATACAAGGCAGGATAGATCCATGACGCCAAATTCTGATCCTACCATCTGAATGTGGCAGCAGAAATCCAGACTCATCAGACCAGGCAACGTTTTTCCAATCTTCTATTGTCCAGTTTTGGTGAGCTTCAGTTTCCTGTTGTTAGCTGACAGGAGTGGCACCTGGTGTGGTCTTCTGCTGCTGTAGCCCATCTGCTTCAAGGTTGGATGTGTTGTTGCTTCAGAGATGGTCTTCTGCAGACCTTGGTTGTAACCAGTGGTTATTTGAGTTACTGTTGCCTTTCTATCATCTTGAACCAGTCTTGCCATTTAGAATCGTACGGGACGCGAACACCACTCTCTCGGGTGAAGGTTTGTGTTTGTTGGTTGTTCCCAACCCAAGCCCCTATGGACTGAGCTACCACCCCACCCTGTGCTTCATACGTCCCCACCAATGTTGAAATGGAACCTACACCCATGCAAACTGGGTACAGAGTCACCTACTCATTAATTCTTGTTACTGAATGAATATGGGTCTGAATGCTCACAGAGAAAGAAAGAAAGAAAAAGGCTACCAGTAAATAAACATATCCAAATAACAACTCCAGAGGAGGGGTTACATGCATTTATTCATCCCTACTGTACTGTCTGCCAGCCTATTATTTGTATTGGTCTCCAGTGAAGAAGACAGGCTTTCATTCATTGCTGCTTAAACAGGCAACACAATGAGCTTTAAAACAGTAAGATCTGTTCAGCCGCCTGTGGCACACACACACTCACACATACTCACAGAGACACTTACACATGTTCATATGTGCACACATTTGTACACGTGAACAGAGACATAAACAGGCACACGCTTACAGTACATGCACACACACACATACACACACATACATGTATTTACGTGCACACACACACACACACGCACGCACGCTCTCCCGTGTGTTAAGTGAACTGTGAAGCTCAGACCGCCTTGTGTGGAAGCCTCGCTGGAGCGGAATCATTAAAAACGGTCCGTGGCTCTTTAAGTGGCGTCTCTGCTTCTCTCCCGGGCGCGATTCTTCATGCATCGCTTGCCAATCTCTCCTCTCTCCCTCTCTCCTCTAACTCATCAGTACGGTACAGGGGGCTGCCGGCGCCGCGCAGGCGGTGGACAGAGGGAAACAGAGGGAGAATAACGCTGCGCTTCAAGTCAGCACCAAGTACAGCGGCACAGCGCGCATTCAGCACCACGGACAGCGCTCCAGACGCGGCAGCGGCAGCGGCAAGCGGCGCGGCACTGCTTAAAAAACTGAGAGGAAGGGTGTATGAACAAATCTGATCACATATCAAACACTTTTGCGCATCATAACAACGAGTTGGACCACTTGCTATTATGCCCGGCGCAGAAATGCTTTGCTACTGGTGTTCTGCTTTGCAAGACAACAGAAGGATAAAGATGTTTCCCTCCTTCTGCTGAAACTCCACATATCCTCTCCTCTCTGGACTGGAGACCCCCTGTGCTTTATACTGACAGCGTTGCGGCGGTGGGCGGGACTTGCAGCGGTGACTGCACACGATTAGCTCCTGAAGGGCGCTGTCACCCACGAGCCCAATCCGAGCCGAGCGGTGCGGCCTCAGGCGGAGTTTGAGGAGACGCGCGGTTAGTTTTAGTTTGTGTTGGTTGGACCGAGAGGAGGAGGAGGAGGAAGACGAAGAGGAGGAGGACGAGGAGGAGGAGGAGGAGGAGGAGGAGGAGGAGGCGACGGCTGTCATTTTTTTTTTTTCATTTGTACCAACGGGCACGTTTCTCGGGAGCAAGCCCAGGCGGGTGTAACTGTCCTACAGGCTCCATCAGCAGGCGTCTTATCGGACAGCGTGTCCCGGTTTTTGGTTGAACTCCGGCGGTGACAGAGAGCGAAGACGGCTGGTTATTTTTAGGAGAAGATATTTGATTAATGTCTCATTTTTTGGTGCCTATTTAAAGCAAGTTAAAAACCCGCGCTGCGCGTTTGGATGAGTTTCTGCAGCCTGGACGTCAAAAACATGTCAGTGAGTCAACAGCTGGAGTGGAAAACACACGACGGATCTCGGTCAGCGTCCGCTCTCTCCTCATGAGCTGACGTATGGGCTTTATTCATCCGTCCATTCATTCAGTAATTCAGCAGGAAACCGAGCAGGACAGAATAAACCCACTGTACCGCCTCATATTTTGGCGCTGCTGCTGCTGCTGCATGAGAGAGAGAGATTGTCGAAGGAGGACATCCTTCACCGGTCAACACATCCAGCGGTGAGTTAAGGGCGAGCCGCCTGGACCATGATGTTTTAGACTGTGCGGTTACATCAGTGAAGAAAACAAACTAACCCCCCTTTTTGTTGTTGCTTTAAAGATGGAGTCCCCCCACGCAGGCTGTTAATGGTTAACAGATTAATAAGGGAGCTGTTTTGGGGAAGTTGAGAAGAGAGGAGAGGAAGAGGAGAGATAGAGAAGAGTGGTGGATAACGCAGCTCGCCCTGCCTAACCCCGGGACTGATAAACGGATGAGAGGCGGAATGTGGCATCGCCGTTCCCCTCCGCTCTGACTGAGTGAGGCCAGTGTCGGGGACAACCGGTGGTCGCTAAAGCTCTGGTGTGTGTGTGCGCGCGCGCGTGTGTGTATGCATGTATGAGGGTGGTGTTGGTGGTGTTGGTGGTGTTGGTAAAAACCGGTTTTTGATGCGCGAGAAAGTGACGTGCCGCCCTCCCACCTTCCCGCCCTTTGCCACGAGCCTCTTGTCAACTCCACGGACGAGGCAGCCAAGTACTTCATTTTCCGCTCCATACTCCTAAAATCACCACCTCTGTCTGTATTGCTATTTTTAATGACATTTTTGGTGAGTGCCTGTCTGTTGAAGCCCCTCACTCTGACTCTCCAAATCTCGCGGGATATAAGGGAAATAAAAGGGTGAATCTGAAAAGAGAGGAGGAAAAGAGATTAAGACAAACAGGAGCCGCCTATATGAAGATGCTGATGTGTGACCGCGGCGTCCAGATGCTCGTGACGACGGTGGGCGCGTTCGCCGCCTTCAGCCTCATGACCATCGCCGTCGGTACCGACTACTGGCTGTACTCGCGCGGGGTCTGCCGCGTGAAGAGCAGCGGCGACAACGACACGAGCCGCAAGAACGAGGAGGTGATGACGCACTCCGGCCTCTGGCGAACCTGCTGTCTGGAAGGTACGTGATCAGTCTGACTGACTGGCTGTCTGTCTCTCTCTTATAGCGGCCTCTCTTTCTATGTGTGTGTGTGTGTGTGAGTGTGTGTGTGTGTGTGTGTGTGTGTGTGCGCGCGCGTGCATGAACATGTCTCCCTCTCTGTGTGTTTGTGAAGCTGTGTGCTTTTTTCTGTCTGTCTTATCCCAGTGTGTGTGTGTGTGTGTGTTTTCTCTGTCACTGCCTTTCCACACACACACACACACACACACACACACACACACACACACACACACACACACACACATCCTGTCTCTCCTGCTGTCTGCCTCTGTCTAACACCAGAGGAGCATTGGTGTGCCCAGTGTGCGTGTATGTGTGTATGTGTGTGTGTGTGTGTATCCCCATAATCCCTGAAACTCAGTTCTTTTGGAAGCCGTCCTTTCCCCGAGTTCACCCTCACATCCCTTCCCCTGCAACATGATAAAATACAGTGGAATACAATATTTATTGATCGGCTCTTGTTGTCATCGCACCGCAGAGCTGAAGGTACAAATAAAGCACTAACGGGCACAAACACAGACAGCTGGCAGCGTTATTAGCCAGTCAGCTGCACCATCAACAAGTACCTGGATCGGCACACTGTTGGACACACAGCGTTGTTAGGAATTTGTTCGTTTGAAGCCATCTTGTTGTCTTGTTGTTGGGAGCCAGGAAATAGAGATTTAGGCAGCGTGGCGTAGCCTGGGTCGGTGCTGGGAAGTGGTGTGCATTTGGCAACCGGTAGAGTTGAGGGAGACCTGTGGATTCATGCAAACAGTCCCAAATTAACTGACTTATGTCGTGAATCTCATTGGAAGAAACTGTGCCATGGTGTCAGACATGCACAGTGACCATTGAGAATGATGTGTTGTGGATAATTGTGAGTTCACCTTGCATTTCTGGTATATCCTCCTGAGACCCTGTGTCCTCATATGAGGGCATTTTGGCTTTACTTGACCTTATACTTCATTCTACTTAACTTAAACCTGTTGTCTTCATTTGTAGACACCTTTATGTGCCATCCACTGGTAGTAAGAGCACATTACACTAATCCATGTAAAAACAAGATGGCAGCCATCTCTGCCAAGTCAGTCTGGCTACAAATTTGCACAAAGACACTGTTAGTTAGGAAGTACTTGTTTGAAGACATTGGGACTTTATTATCGTTTCGTTTCAGGTCATTGGTCCATTATTGTCATCTCATTTGAGGATATTGGAACTTTATTGTCATTGACATGGTTTATTTTTTTATACTTATTGGGTCATACTGATCCCAAATAGCTTGGAGAATTTTAAGATGCATACCAAAGAAAAGTTTGGGTGTCAGGAGGATAGATAAGTTGGGTTCTTTCCACTGGCTCTAGCCAAAATCTAGTGGTCATTACAAGGTTGGCATCTTCAGGCTCCACATTCAGGTGTGTTGGGTGTTGCCTGTTCCTGCTGCATCAATGCCATTTTTAGCTTAAACCTCAACTCCCCCAGTCAGAAGTAATGTACCATTGTTGCAGCTTCATCTGCAGGAATGTAGTATTAGGGTTGTACCTGACTCAGAATTATGGCAATCAAATCGTATTGAGTATGAGAGTCTGAACGGGGTTTGGCTGGATATTCAGGGTGACAGTAGGCGGAAAAGTGAGACTGATTACCCAGGGCCCTACTGGGAGGGGAGCAAGAGGGTTCCTGATGTGAACCCAGGGTGGGGGAGCCCTTCTGTGCGGTGTTTGCATGTTCTCCTTGTGTCAGGCTGGGTTTTCTCAGGGTACTCCGGCTTCCTCCCACAGTCCAAAGACATGCAGGTTAATTGGTGACTCTAAATTGTCCGTAGGTGTGAATGTGAGTGTGAACGGTTGTCTGTCTCAATGTGTCAGCCCTGTGATAGTCTGGTGACCTGTCAAGAGTGTACCCCACCTCTCGCCCAGTGTCAGCTAGGGTAGGCTCCAGCCCCCTTGCGACCACCAACGGGATAAGTGGCAATGGAAAATGAATGAATGAATGAAATCGGTTGAGAGATTGAACTTTGCATAATAAAAAAATATAGTGAGAATTGCTGAATATATCAAAGTATGTCATCACAGCTGCTCAATTGATCCTCAAATTCTGGAAGATTACATCATGTCCAGATTTTGAAAAATGGAAGGAATCTATGTCAGAAATTGTGTCATACGGACACACGTTTGCTGGGGTCCACAATGAAGTTGAAAGCTTTAAGAGATCATGGTTAGGCTTTTTTATTTGTAATATGTCTGTTGAACTGTAACAATGCGGTGTTTAGTTGTACCACTGCGGCTGCTAAATTACTATTATGGGTATAAGAATGTGAAGCTACCAGGTGCCTTTGGATATGTTGAGTCCCAATAAGAGTAGTGTCAGTTTGTTCAGATTTGACTGCATAGATAAATAAACAAAGTGGAAGCTCTCTGAGGCCCCTCTCGACCCTTAAAGGTGGGTCCACCACTACATTAGGATTCGTCTCGAAACACAGCTAAAGCCGAGTTAATGACTGCTTATGCTGCTTGAGCACCATTGTACACTGTCATGTCTTTTCCCAACACAGAGAAATCCAGGTCCAAAAGAGAAAGGAAAGAAAGACAGAAATGAAAGAATGAAAAGCACTGACTTTGAAAAAAACTGCCTTTGTAAAAACAAAATTCAGTAGGTGCTTGTGAGAGACTTGGATAAAAATAGGAAGGGTGGGAGGCCCACAGAGAATGCTTCGGCCCAGGTGCTAACTATGCTAACGGCGGATTAGAAAGGTGCAACAACTTTTTTTGCTGACACCAGATATCAAACAAAAGCCAGAGACTGTTTCGTATTAAGTTGCTGTGAGCTGTAAATTCACCACTTCTGACTAAAAGGTAGCATATAATGTTATCTCGGATCGTGACCGACAAAGCCTCACTTTCTTCAGGCAGCTGCCTCTGTCTCTCTCAGACTCACCCTGGGTCTGGGTCTTCAGCTACCTGTGATTCTATTAAAGGACCCAGGGATGTCGTATGTTGTAAAACCCAAATTGTGATTTCTTACGGGCTTCATAGATAAAATTGAATTGAACGGCATTGAAAGGAATCCTAGCCTAAAAACAAGCTGAGCATCCAGAAACAAGCTGAGAGTTTAGAAACAAGCTGAGCTAACATTAGCAGCAGCTCGACGAGTGGCTCTTCCTGACATCTGGTCACTGAAGAGCGTCGCTGCTTTATTTAGTTTGGAGGAGGGGGAGGAGACCTCTGTGGCTAGTTTGGGTTCTGGTAAAAACCTCCTAGACAATGAATACTGAAGGAATCCTAACCTAAAAATAAAATGGCAATGGTGGCTATTTAGCAAAAGCTCCCACTCTACAGCTAAACTTGTGAACCGAAACATCCCCAGAAGTACACTACACACTTAACTATTTAAGTGAGATCATAAAACCTCCAAAACTGCCCCATTAAATCGTACTTTTTCCCCCCAGCCCGATGACACCTGGTCTCAGAGACATGTCCTGTGTCTGTAGCTCCATGCACTTTGACTACAGTAATAGATCAGCTCCGTGGTTCATGAAGCCATCTGATTTTAAATCCTCAAGTCTTGTGACTATCTGGCGATCTCGAAAAATCGAAACCTAAACCCAGACGAAGATAAGGGCAGACGGGGCAGGGATAATTGGAGCAGGTAGACAAATAAGATAAGATAGATTAGATCAATTTAAAGAGCTAAAGTGGCCCTTTTCATTTGAGTTTACTTTAATTGGTAAGCAGTTAAGGCATACTTTATTACAGCATGTCTATGAGGCTCCAGACTTGACAAAGTGAATGAAAGTGCTAATATCCTGAGAGAAAACAAAGTGACCAGACAAAAAGACAGAAAGCACAGGGACAGGTAAATGTGTTTGTGGGGCATCTTGTTCCGCTCACTGCATCACCATAGCAAGTCTTAGGTTGCAGCATCAGTGTGTGTGTGTGTGTTTATCTGTGTGTGTGGATCACAGATTTGAGCCTGGGCTTTGACCTTGGCTTCATGTCGTCCTCTGTCTCTTTCCACTTTTCCTGCTGCCTTCCCTGTGGAATCTCCAAAGAAGCACTTCATGCCGTCATACTTTTTTAAAAATGTGTTTTATTTTCTGCCAGAGAAAAGGTCAAATCACTTGTCTCCAAGCTGGAGTTTCAGCCAAATCTGTGGAAACCTACATTTTTCTTTGTAAATGGCTCTAAACAAGACTTTATATAGAATGTTCAGTAGCAGTATCATGATGTTAATATGTCCTGTATTAGTGGCTGCTCTTACTGTTGGCAACATGTCCACTGTAACATGGCTGCCATCCCAGGCAACCAAAAACTCAAAGACACTTGATTGGATTTGTCCCCAGGATAATGTAAATGTTGTGGTTTGCATGGGGATCTATAAGTATCAGTGCAGATGTGTGTCGGTTCCTCAGTAGGATGATATTTCCTGTCAGTACTGCCACTTTTTTCTTGCTTTCAAAAGGGACTTTTTCTGTATTCATTCATTTTCCGTAGCCACTCATCCTGTTAGGGGTCACAGGGGCGCTGGAGCCTATCCCAGCTGACATTGGGCGAGAGGCAGGGTACACCCTGGACAGCTCGCCAGACTATCACAGGGCTGACACATAGAGACAGACAACCATTCACACTCACATTCACGCCTACGGACAATTTAGAGTCACCAATTAACCTGCATGTCTTTGGACTGTGGGAGGAAGCTGGAGTACTTGGAGGAAACCCACTCTGACATGGGGAGAACATGCAAACTCTACACAGCAGGGCTCCTCCACCCAAGGTTTGAATCAGGAACCCTCTTGCTGTGAGGCGACAATGCTAACCACTGCATCACCATGCCTTAACCGTTACAAATGGCAACTACTATGAAACAGTTTTTTTCTACTTTTGAGACAAACTGATGTCAGATTGTGACAGATTTCTTCTTTTAACGTAATATAGCCTTCATTGCTTCATATAATAACATGCTAACTTCAGGAAAACATGTAA